ATGGGGACCAGTGGGTGGATTTTGTACTCTTATGATCTGTGCAGACTTTTGAACTGGTTGAATACAGATCTCTGCTCTCTTGCTATCCCTAATATACATGTGGGCTGAGATATCTTTGAGGATTATAGGCTCAGTTTACAGTATATTTTAGGCAACACAAGCAACATTAAGATGGGAGAGTAAAATTTCTTAGCAAGGTGCTTAATAAAATTATTACATAAGACTAATATGAATAGCAGTAGCTGTGTTTTCTCCTGTTGATAATAAGTTAAGAACATCTTTCATACTTCTTGAAGTATAATCCAAGGAATTTCCACTCTGGTGAGGTCCTGGGATTTTTGTAGCAAAGGGTTTTGCAAACTCCTTGAACTAAAAGTTGGAAATACTTTGTGAGTTCCTTGATTTTCGTGATATTTTTTTTGTGTGTGTATACATATATATACATATATGGGGGGTTGTTTGGGGAGGGGTATCAGGGATTGAACTCAGGAGCACTCGACCCCTGAGCTACATCCCCAGCCCTATTTTGTATTTTTATTTAGAGACAAGGTCTCACTGAGTTGCTTAGTACCTCACTTTTTTGCTGAGGCTGGCTTCAAACTCACGATCCTCCTGCCTCAGCCTCCTAAGCTGCTGGGGCCACTGCACTTGGCCCTCAGTTATATTTCTGACACACTGAGAAGCCTAATCACCTAATTTTGGGGCCTCAGTATTCCCATTCATAAAGCCAGGACCACTCTGTTCCTCTCCACCGCATATGAGAAAATGGCATTGTGAAGTGATAAGTACTTGGAGGAAGCATATATGTAAGAATGGCATTTTCTTACCCTCCATCAAATTAAAAGATTATCTATCACATGAAATGCTAGTCATTTAAATGTGGTACATAGGAAAGAAATTAATAATTGTACAGAAGATTTAATAGGAACTGGGTTAAATCCAGAAATTGCTCAGCACAGCTAGGATGTATTAATGTTTTGCACATGCACAGCACTTTGTTATACTCATTTCAGGAAATACTACAGAGAAAAGATAAATGTGATTTCTCTCTTTGGGTGACTTATAAAGTCACTGAGTAGACAGAGATGTGGAATCGAGAACAAGTTAAGACTGTGTGTGATTAAATGCCAAAGTGAATGCTGTAGAAAGTTCAGGCTCTTGGAGGTCAAAGGAAGAGTGAGGGAAGGCTTCATGGGCAAGGATGGGCCCGAAACCAAGGCCTTGGAGGAATGTCACACTGAGAAAGTATCAGGGAAGATATTCTGGCCACAACCTGAGGAGCGAGGAGGAGGTGGTGGTCCTGATGACCTGGAGAAAGTGGGTCTTCTTAAGAGAGGTAAATATTGTGGGTAGCATAGGCCCAGACTATGAAGAGCTTTACGTGTGGAAAAGGAGCACCTTTAACTTAACAGTGTGGGTGATGTGTTGCTAGCATAGGTTTTTGGGTCAGTGAGGGAAATGATCATGTGATATTTTAGGAGATCGAGGGTTTAAGTAAGGGTCATAAACTTGGGCAGTGTTGTCCAGTCTCACTGTTGACGAGCTCTGAGTATGAGGTTTTAGGGCACAAGGTCTGTAGAGGCAAGGGTGATGTAGAAAGAAAACACATGTCCAAGTCCCTAGTGTGTTAGTCACTTTGCTACATCTTTCACAGCATTTTTCCCACAGAAAACTTTTGTGAATTAAACCAGAAACTTGGGCTGGGGATGTGGCTCAAGCGGTAGCGCGCTCGCCTGGCGTTGTGTGCAGCCCGGGTTCGATCCTCAGCACCCACGTACAAACAAAGATGTTGTGTCCGCCAAAAACTAAAAAATAAATATTAAAATTCTCTCTCTCAAAATAAATAAATAAACCAGAAACTCTGAACTAAGTACTGTTTCATCTTGCAGATGTAGAAACTGTAAGTTGCTAAGGTTCCACAGCTAGCAAGAGAGCAAAGTGGCATTCTAGCCTGCTCCTATCTGATTAGAGTCCTTGCCTTCATCATTGTCCCTTGTGGAATTATCAGAAGCTCTGCTCTTCTGATCTCCACACTGCGTAGGCTTTTCTTTTTCCTGGATTAAGTTAGGTCAAAGTCAGCATGTGTGAAACAGGGCGTGTACTCCAATGTAACCAAGAATCTTGAAATCAGAATGTCCCAAGCGTTTAACATTCCCAGGAAATGGATCCACAAATCCTGAAAAGCTTCAGATTAGCCAGGCTAATTGTGTTGTTTCAATAAGCTACGATAGCCAAGAGAAGTCTTATAAAAGATCTGGAAAACAAAGCATTTTGTTTATCTTTCTTGAGAACTCTTTTTTTTTTTTTTTTTTTTATTGGTTGTTCACAACATTACAAAGCTCTTGACATATCATACTTCGAACAATAGTTTCAAGTGAGTTATGAACTCCCATTTTTACCCCAAATACAGATTGCAGAATCACATAGGTTACACATTCACATTTTTACATAATGCCATACTAGTGACTGATGTATTCTGCTACCTTTCCTATTGGGTTAAGTGAGATATTGACAAGGTAGGGCTGAATAAATGATCATCTCTAACTTCTCATGTGAGTGGAGTGAGGGAAGAATAATAGCACATGGCTGCTACCCCCTTGCTCTGGTGGAGGCCGGCCATCCACCCTCATTTCTCTCCACTCATTCCTGTTCTCCAGTGACCTTTTATCCTGAAGCCTGTTAGCAGTTTCTGAGTTGCCTGGTCACATTTCTGTGGGTGGTGTGGAGACCGACAGCAGTCTACAGGGTGGCGGGTGGAGCATGGTGATAGGGCAGCACTTGCGGAGGTCTCAGGTGATGGAGAAAGAAGAGGTACGTTACTATGAGAGAATTTGACAAACCTGTGGGCAGGTAACATTTGAAAATTGATTCTCTAACTTGGAAGAGAAAAGCAAGTCAATGTGTATGAGCATCCATACGGTTTGCCAAGTTCATCAATTAAACAAGTGTTTTGAGTGGAAATGACTTATTTCTTTTTTCAGTGCTGGGGGTTGCACCCGGGGTCTCATGCATGCTAAGCACACACTCCGCCACTGAGCTATACCCCAAACCCAGAATGACGTTTTACTGTCAATCTTTCCCTCATATGTTCATTTAAAACTCAGTCATCAGAAGATCTGATTAATCTGAAATAATAATGGTTTGGAGGAGAATTTTTTTAAAGGGCAAACATATAGTGTGGACTTTTTTTTGTTTATTTACTTTTCTTGTGATATTTAGTCAAAGCCCTTTGGGAAGAGTTTTGACATTAAAAAGAGGAATTTTACTAAGTAACTTTCTTTAATGAAGCTAATATTTCTCTCCCTTCATCTTACCATGTACAGGAAGGAAAGTGAGACTCATGTGGTTCACATTCAGCATCAGGGTGCTATCCAACTTCCCCTCCTGTTTTCTTCAGTCCCCAGACCCAGACTCCAAAACTAAAGAATATCCCACCATTTCTCTTTCCCCAATTTGAGAAGAAATACAAACTTAATCTGCTTCCCCTATAATAAAAGAGTTCAGGACTTGGTAGCCACATCTCCTGAATCACAGGATGACTGCATCTTAGGTTTCTGTTTGCAGCAGCACCACAACTTGCTTAAGTCTTAGAAACCACCCTAGGTTGTGTATCTGTTTGGGTTCTCTGTTGTAATTAGTAGAAACCAACAACTCTTATTTACTTAAGCAGAATGGAATTTATTGGAAGAATATTAGGAACTCATAGAATTGATGTAAGGGGCAGAGCAAAGAACTAGGCCTGGAATAGACGGAAAACAAAGCAACTCTGACTAGGCAAAGAACCATGAACTAACTACGTGAAGGTATTTGTACTGATTGCTGTCTGGGCAAGAATGTGGTGGTGCCCCACTCCAGGGTAGGAGCATCTCATTGACGTAGCTTGGGTCCTGTGACTGACCACAGCTTGATAAAGGGGAGGGTGAGTCCTGGATTACAGACTTACCAGGGCTTATCCAAATAAGGTCATTCTTCAGAGGGGAATCAGAATGAATTTACTGGGGAGAAGTTATGCTCCACAGCCAAAAGTAACCAGTGGTCAGCGCCGGGTGGTAGAATGCATTAAATGACAGAAGAAAGACAGCACTGGTTTTCCTTTGGGAAACGGAGGGTTAGAGAAATGTGCTCACACGCCTTGGCTATGAGGTTTGTCTGTCAGCATGTCTGCTGCTGTTCTTAACGTCACCCCTTCCTCCTCTCTCTCTTAGTTGGAGCCTAGCGGGGCCATCCTGTTGGGATGTGGATTTGCACAAGCACAGCGTGCTACATGTGCATGCCAGGAGGTGCTGGTGGCAAAGCAGTTCCTCTTTGATCAGTTTAGGGAGATTAGATGTAGTTAAGGCCCTTTTCCTTTCCTGCTTTGTGTCACCCCATGGCAGTTGTTCTAGAAAATTTCACATTTTAAGCATGTTTATCAGTAGCCCAACTTTGACCTTTTATACTCACCTGGATAAATAATTCAGGCTTCAGTCTGATTTTAGTTGTTTGTTAGATGATTGATATATTTAGCATACATAGTTACTAAATAAATTTTACTTAATGAATAAAGCTATAACTTTAAGAGAATATTAAGGTACCCTAACTAACCTTGTTATTGGAAAATGGCAGTGGAATTCTATACTTCAGTCTGATTTTCACTACTTAAAAGGAGAATGCAGTCTCAAAAAGAAATGAATTTTTAATATATTGGACTGTGGGAGGGCACATACCTTGTGCTTCTCTATGAAAATTTAACAGTTACAATATACCTCCTGGTTGATAGAAAAAAAACATGATTAAATAAAAAGCATGACTAACTTTTTATCTAATTAATTTTAAAAGATTTAGTGTCACTCCTGTTTGGGTCCCTATCAAACCCTAAATTTCTGTAGCTCCCATAATTAGTTGTTGCTAAACAACTTCAAAATTGGAAGTTAGTCTAATGCTAAAGAAAAACACTCTGGGCATTTTGAGTGTCACTTGGAAGAGATATAAAAAGCTGACCTACTGTGTTTCTCTTTCAGCATCCAGTGCTCGATGAGCCAATAGCTGAAGCTGTGTGTATCATCGCAGACACAGACAAGTGGAGTGTCCAGGTGGCCACAAGTCAGAGGAAAGTGATGGATAACATGAAGCTGGGCCAGGATGTCTTGGTCTCTAGTCAGGTGTCCAGTTTACTTCAGTCTATCTTACAGCTTTACAAGCTTCACCTCCCTGCTGATTTTGTAAGTATGTGATCTCATATCATCAGAGAAAGTTAGCTAAAAATACTTTCAGCCACATTTTGATTATGAAAGCAGAAATCTGGATATTGTTTTTAATAAAATCGGAGGTTAGCATGAATTAAAATGAGACATGCAACATAAAACCAGCAAACAGGATGGATTTCAGTAACCCTAGCCCTTCCATAAAACAACAGAGAGTGGATCGACATCTTTTTAATAAGGTGTATGGCAAAGTAAAGAAGGTATTAGGGAAGGATCCAGCATAAAAGAAATCTGAAATCCTTCTTGGAGAACTCATTGCTAAGCAGCCATCCTCACAGAAGTATTAAGGGTGAAGTAGACCACGGTTTGTGGAAACACTTAAATTTTGAAGTACTGTATACATGTAAGATGGTATCAGTTGTTCCTTTTCAAATGGGACTTGAAGATCACTTTCATAACATTATTTTAAATATGAACAACAAAGCCTAAGAATTCCTCACAAATTGTCAGCAGTTCACCCCTAGTGACTGGAATTAGTATTTACCTTTCAGTGCATGTGTGCACTTGATATATGCAGAGATTAGAAGAGGAAATATATTTAGTAAGGGAGGGAGAAATGTTTCAGAAGGAGGAGAGAAGCTGAAGGGCATCTAAGAAAAGTCTGGGTGAGCTGTCCTCGGGAAGACGCTTCACTGGAGCAGTGTGCTTACTCTGCTCTTTCCTTCCTTCTGTGCAGGCTGCTCTCTGCAGCATAGTTCGGAACCAAAACCTCTGTCTCCTTTCTGGCCTTGAGAAATGATTCAGAGCTATGTAACAACAATGTAGGAAAATGAATATTCATTAAATATACTATTTGCCAATGAATTGATCACTTTCCTGGATTTAAAGTCAAACCTGTGGTACCATAGTCCTCAGAAATGGTCAGGATTTTTAATGGCTTTGAAGAGGTCCTCTGAAATAATGATTGACATCAAAACTGGCAGCATGGCATGGCAAAAAGACACAACTCGATTAAGGTCTCAGCTTTGCTATTGATTACACAATTCTGAGTGTCTCTGAATCTCAGCTTTCTCATTTGTAAAATGGAGAGACTACAACTGTGCTGAGAGAATCTTCTGAAAATTAGGGATAGGATAATGCTTTCAAAACACCGGGTTAAAAGCCAGCATGTAGGGGCTGGGGTTGTGGCCTAGTAGCAGAGCACTTGCCTAGCATATGTGAGGCACTGGGCTCAATATCCTCAGCACCACATATAAATAAATAAATAAATAATAAAAGTACATTCAACAACGGAAAAATAAAATTTTTTAAAAGCCAGCATGCATACATTAGTGGCCAGTGGCCAGTGCCTAGGCTAGAGTCAAATTCAAGTTCTACTACTTACTTTGTGACCTCTCAAAGCCTCAGTTTCCTTATCTGCAAATCTAGAGAAATAATAGAACCTATCTCATGTTTATGTAAATCAGACAATTCATGTAAAGCATTTGGAATAGAGTTAAATGTTATAAACATCGATATTATTGGCTTATCAATAATTAGTTTTCTGGAACAGTATTAATTAACTTCATGGAACAGTAAAAACTGACAATACATTTTTACTAAAATCTTTATTTGGGATTTAAATTAAAGCATACTCTTGAGGATGTCTGTCTTAGGGTAATATGAGAAGCATTTATGGGTTATTATGACCTTACTTTCTGTTCTACATTTGTAGGCAGGTTTTCTTCTACAAGCAGGTTGAGTTGTGCTGACTTAGAGGATGATGTCTCCATTTTTATGGGCAAAGAGGACATATTAGAATTCAAGTTTTTACTCTTATAAGTATTTGCCAAACATCTGCAATACATACTTCTTGTTACATACAACATTTTGCTTATTCAAGCAACACATTATTATAGCTGATTTTTTTTACTTTATTTGGATAGAATATTTAAACTTGTAATAATAAGAATGATTTATTTAACCTGATAAACCAATGTCAAAGAAAATTTCATCTGTAGTTTAAAATTCTCTATATATTGTTTCAATGAAACATAAATGACTAGGCCCTTTAGTACCAACGGATAAAATAGCTATTTAAAATTTTAGAAGTTTGAAATTCAAGAAATACATCTCCAAAGTAAAATTTTTTAAAACCATCATAAGTTAAGTCTTTTTGAAAAACTTTCTAAATGTTTTGATTTCATTTGATTTCATAAAGAGTTCTCTTTATTTCCACATTGCATCATGTACTTTTCATGCAGTCTGTGAAAACATTGTAAATTAGCTGTTTTAAAACAAAGGATGTTTATCAGACCCAGTGCACCTGCCTAGAATCCCAGCTATATGGGGAGATGGAAGTAGGAGGATCACAAGTTGTACACCAGCCTCAGCAACTTAGACCCTGTCTCAAAAAATAAAAGGGGCTGAGGATGTGGATCAGTGGTAGAGAATCCCTGGGTTCAATCTCCAGCACACACACGACATAGCACACACAAATACACAAAAACCCAAAGATTTAATATAATATGAATGGTCTTTTTTATATTTTGGGACAGTCTTACAGAAACCTTTGTATTTCCACTCCACAAGTTAACTGGAGACCACTTCACTCTGTTCACTGGGGGAAACATTTCCATGAGAACTGATGGAATCTCCCTGCTTTGATATCACTTAGCCACTTAGCAGTGTGTTTCATCTACCATACACAATGCATCTAAGGCTGTGAGCCAATGAGAGGCTGACAAGATCGAATCTCTAACAGATACTTTTTCCATGCCACTGATCAGCCCAGATGGTCAAGATCAACATTTTCAAATGCATCTGTTAATCTTTTTACCTTGAAAATAACAGACCTAATGGTCTAGAAGAAAAGTATGTATGATGGAATTGCCCTTGCCAGAGCCATCAGGTGTCTCACTGAAGGTGCTGGGGTGGCCATGACTGCCAAGTACAAAAGTACTTGCCTCTGGTGAAAGACACAGATGGTTGGTATTCTCTAAAAACTGAAGCTGGACACAGTTCCAAGGGTAAAGATGTCCTGAAAATAATTGCCTTTTCTTATTTGTCATTAAGAAGACCTAGTTAAAGACACTCTCAAAAGCAAAATACAAAGTTTGAAATGACCTTGTTCCAGTTGTTCTACTTCTGGGAATGTATTGGGCCCAAATAATCTGAAACATAGGAAGAAAACATTAGTGAAGATGTTCTTCACAAAAATGCCTTACAAGAAAAATACAAATTGCTGTGTGGTTCAGTAACTAATGGCAAATTCACATTCTAAGGAATTATTTAGCCATAAAAATTACAACAATAAGGAATTCTTAATATTTTATTAGGAAGTTATTTAAACTAAGGAAATTCTAGTACTTATAGAATATTGATTAACTATGTGGAAATGCTTTTTTGAAAAAAAAACACTAGAATAATATATGAAAATCTTGTCATTTAACAAAAACCTGTTTATATACCTATTAGTTATGGGGCTTGTAGTTTTTTTTTTTAAGTATATTTGAAAAGGTGTGAGATTACAGCTGTACACTTGAGTTCCAGCCCTCATTGTGAATGCTGTTGACTCCACAGTGCATCATGCATCTTGAGGACAGACTGCAGGAGATGTACCTTAAAAGCAAAATGCTGTCTGAGTATCTTCGGGGACATACCCGAGTCCACGTGAAGGAGTTAGGTGTTGTGCTGGGGTGAGTCCTGTGAAGTACTACTATGTCTTCTCCCTGTGATGGCTGGCCTTTGCCCTCATGTTATATCCTCTGACCTGTTCAACCTGCACCACCCAAAGCCAGGCCCAGATTCCCTCAGACATGTGCCTCTCAGCTCCTGGATGAACAGCATGTTGTTTGTATCTTGATACCCGGTTTCACACCTGGAAACCATCATGGAACTTTGGGCTGGTGGTACTTTTATGTCAGTCTCCTCCCTGGTTATTTTACCCTTGAAAGAGAACATTTAATACCATTCTGACCATTTCTGGTAAGCCAGTCAGTAAGATGCCAAAGTCAAAACTGTCAGATGTGCAGTGGCAGCTCTGGTGTATGTCTCACTTCCTGGAGGAGGAGTTGCAGGCACCTCCCACTGGACAGCAAGGAGAGAGAGCCCTTCTCCTGGGCTTTCAGGTGCTGCCTACATGTCCCCAGCAACTGTCCCTTTCTGCCTTTGTGAGCCCACTGAAAAGGAGACTTGCTTATGTTAGTTACTAATAACACATGTCATCTTCCGAGGGCATTTACCATAATTTCTCTCTGAGTTATTCTGCTTAATGTGTCAACAGAGAACTAAAAGGGCATTGTGTCTTTGGGAAACTGTCTTCTTTATCCGTGGTGATGATTCCCTATAATGGAGTAAGAAAATACTGTGTTTATAATACCACCCTTTAAATTCTCTTTTAAAGAGAATTTAAAGGGTGGTATTATAAAGTATTATTTTAAAACTCTGGCCTTTGCATTCTTGTCAGACTTTTCATCTTTCACACCCAGGATGTGACTGGCTGTTTTATTTGGCATTTTCTGTCACACATTTTTCTTAAATACCTCATTTAAAAATATTTTCCCCTTTTGAGATGGCCACTCTTGCAGCTACTTCACAATCTCTCTCTTTGTTTTCTTTTCCTTAGTTTTGGTTTATGACTCCTTACCAGACTCATATTGTAGTCTGCTTCATAAGATTTCCTATTGCTAGGCGTAGTCCCTAATTTCTAGGACTTTCCCCTGGTTCCTGACGCTGACAGTCATCCATCAACACTGAAGAACTGCAAGAATGTTTTCCTCTCAGCATTCCTCTCTAGGTCTTGTCGTGTTCATCCTCTCTCTTTATATCCCCTTCTTCCATGGCCAGGACACTAGCAGCACCTCCAGTTCTAGAAAACGCATGGTCCACCTGAATGAGATTCGTAGGTAGCTTTACTGGAGAAGGAATAGAAAACTCCACAAAGTAATGTCAGCTCCTGTCTTTGTATTTGTAATTTGTGGAATTCGAGGGAAAGAACTAGGACGGGTTCCACAGGCTGAAACAGGCCAGCTTTTTTTTTTTCTCCTCCACAACTGGTAGCATTTAGCCAGTGACGGTTCTGTGTCCGTCTCTCCTTTGAAAGGCAACCAGAACTGTGTCTGCCTGAAACTCATGCTTTTTACTAGTGTCACTTTGGTCTCAGAGCACTGTGGCTCAGGAGTTCAGAGGGGATCTAGGTTGTATGACTGCTTGAACAGAGATCACCAGGGTTTCTGAAGACATTAACTGCCATCATCATTTTCCTAAGACTAACTTGAACCTAGGTGCCAAATCAGTAGGCCTTGGGAAATGAGGAGACTGTGGGGGAATGGAGTCACATAGGCCACCCAGAACAGGGAGAGACTTGAAGTAAATGGAGTTGGTGACTCTGCTGCAGGAGGATTGGCCTTATGTTCCACATTCAGGCAGCACAGCTCCAGCACCTCCTTCTCATTGTCCCACCTCGCTGTGTGCCCTGGGAGAGCTTACGATCTTTTCATCTGTTTTACTTTTTCATTTGTTTTCAGTGATAATCTAGCAAGCTTGAACCCTAGAAATAAAACTTTAAGTACCCTTCCTTTCTGTTTTTAACACCCAGGATTGAATCTAACGACCTGCCGCTGCTGACCGCTGTTGCCAGTACTCATTCTCCTTACGTGGCTCAAATACTCCTATAAGCTGAAGCTCAGGACAGTTCTTCCTTGGAATAAGAAAAACAAATTCTCAACTGAAGAAGAGAGGAATAAGCTCTCTGGGACATCCAAAGCATGAGAAGAGCAAACAAATAGTCATTCCACCGTTTGTTTTGCATTGTTACTTTTGAGTGGATGCTTCATTGGAAGAGAAGACAGGTTTACTCTAAATACTGGCATTTGTGATTTTCAGGAACACTTTAGGCCTTTGTTACCCATGAATCAATCAGGGGAGAGAGTGGCCTTTCTGGTGGGGGAAAACATAAGCACTACACTGAACACTCAGCATTTGGTACTGATTGCCTTGTGCTGTCGGGCAGAATAATGATGGGTGACTTTGGAGCAGGGAGGTAACCAGTGTATGTAACATTCCAGTAGGAAATGTTTCAGAGTTTAAGTCTAAGCACTGCAAGCTGTACACTAGGCTAAAGTCAGAACAAGGACTTTGAATTCCAGGTGAGAGTTTGCTTTTTAGAAAAGAAAGGTGAAATGACGAAAGCCATTTTTGGCTGTAGCAGCTGTATGCCATAAGATGTGAAAGAAAACTGCCTATTGGGAAGAGAGAGAGTGCTTTGGGGACCCTCTGTTCTCATTTCTCCTCAGAGTTTACCTTGTTTCAGATGCAGCCACAGGTAGGTTAGAGATGGATTGCTGGTGCAATACACCCAAGAGTCAATGTAGCATCCTGATCCCATCAAGATGTAGTTTGTAGCAGCAAAGCATAGTCTGACGCCATATGTTTTATCATTATGATTTAGAGTTCTCAGCCTTTTCAAGAGAGGCCATTTACCAAAGTTATTTCTATAAGCTCAAGAGTGTTTCTGTGGGTGAATTCTTCCAGCCAGAGCCACTTTCTTCCTAGAATAGTTTATACAAATGACTATTTATACTTTTAAAGACACTGCTGTCCCCATGAGAAATGAAACCTGCAATAATTCAGGATGGTCAGTGAAAGCAATTAGTTTGAACATTAAGAAAAAGGTTCATACATGGCCTAAATTTTTACATTATCATCTCTGCACCTCTTAATCCCTATGTCTTTTCAAAACATCTTCCCAGAAATTGACTTGACCATTTTATAAAACCTACCAAAGTAAAGAATTAGTAGTCCAATTCACTTAAAAACAACTTCAATTGTCTGTTAATATTAAAGAAACTTAGTTTACTGACCATGAAACAGTCTAAGTCCTGACATCCAGGATACAGTAAAACACTTCAAAAATTTAAAAAATGATGGTCAAAAGACAGGAGCTAATGTAATAAGGCAAAACATTGTTAGCATTTCAGCCTTTTCTGTGAATCTTCTGTTCCTAAGAATATGAGGTTTCCTCTTTTTTATGGGTTGGAATTAGTTCACATTTTATGTTTGATAAAATCCTGACCCTATCCATAAGTTCGTCTCTCATTATTGTCTAATTATTTGAGAGCGTCTACAGCTGTACCAATGGAGGTGAATGGCTGTACTGTTTATTTATTAGGAATAGGTCAGAACTGCTACCTTCCTCTTTCTCCTTTGTGCTGTGAAAGTAGATGGGTGCTTCAAGGTTCTGGAGATCTTTAATTTGCATTTTATGTCTTGGTTTCGCAAAATTGAAGTTTTCCATTTCCTTTTGCCTAACATTGGAGTTTGGTGTTTTCAATTCTCTGGTTCCATGACATCATTGTTTGCTGTTTCGTTACGGAAGGAAAACGAACCCCACCTGTAGCTCAGCCCACTCGCACTTGCTTTTCCTTGCATGTGAATAAATTGTCAAAGCTGTCATTACAGCTCTTCCGTCTGCACCAGCTTAAAGCATTCCCCTCTGGTTCCCTTCTCCTTGTTTACATGTTGTGGGCACCTTGCCTCAGTCACCACCTTCCAGGGTTTCATAGAAAATAACCTGATTCAAAATCAGTTCAGTTCTGAAGTGGGCATTGTGGCGTGCTGAAAATCAGACCCTCACGGGGAAAATTGAGCTTTAAGTGACTGATTCTCAATCCCATACATAAAAAATTTAACCCAGCTCCTCAATGCCTGCGAAAATTCAATTTGCCTCTTGATCTAATATTCCAAAACTCACTCTTAGGAAAACACCTATTGGGAAGCTACAAGTGGGTCACAGGTCGGGGTCGTCTCAGTGACACTCAGGATTCCTGCCAGAGTCGAATCCTCATATCTATCGCCTACAAAAACACACCAAGAATGTTGCTGCTCTTTTTTTTAAAGCCTCCTTTAATATTTAACATGCAAGTCTTTGTCTTAAATTCAACCTCTTCCTAGAAGCAAAAAAGGAAAAAAAAATCTCATGGGATTGTGTTGAGAGACAACCGCTCGCACATCACAGACCACCCCGTGACTTCATTCTGTCTCAGCTGAACAGTTGGAGGGATCCCACCTGCTCCCATGCCCACCTCAAGAAAAAAAAAAATAAAAATTAAAAAAAATAAAGAAATCTACCTCAGTTGACAGGATTCCAACTTTAGGGTTTCTTCAACTTTTAAGTCTTACCTGTTGAGTGTAACTTTTGTGGCATCTTGCTTTCTCAAGCAAGCTAGTGAGGCATGACAGAGCAGAAGTATGTGAATGTTACTGTGATGGACCTCTTTCTAGCATGTTGCAGTTTTATTTTTAATAAATTGATAAGTGATATGAATGTAAAGGTAATTGTGTATGTTTTAAACATGACAATGAAAATTTGAAATGTAGCTTCCATACTTGTGCATAATTCCAAAGTATTTTATTTTTATCAGTGTTAAATAGCTTTTTGTACAGGCTTCAAATCCATTTTCTGAAGTGTGCTGTTTTTTAATGAAAGTAACTATAATCTTTTCACATCCCATGGAACTGCCGTTTACACATTGCAACTTTTTAAACTGACCATATTTTTCAAAATTAACTTTTTTGGAGGGAGGAAATTTCCCCCTTGCTAAATGATACTAAACTGTTGTTTGGGCTCTTATAATTAGGTCCTCAGATTTTATAAAAATTTAGTCTGTAGCTTTTTAGGTTCTTCACTAGAGTTGGTTGTATATAAAGAATATAAAGTGATCCCAAAATTCTTTTAAATGTCTGGATTTTTCCACTAATATGTACTTTGGGGAGCATTTCATTCTTGCATACTTTCACCATTAAATTGGAAAAAAAGTCTTTAGCTTTTCTTAGTTAATGTGAAAGATTTGTTTTGTTTAATTCTGCTTGGGGGGATATTTTATTATAATTTCTGCCTAAATCAAACATCCCCTCTGAATGTTAACTTTTAAATGTCAGAATTTGGTGAACCATATATCTAGGAAGTGAGATTACAATATGCTTAAATTTGAGGCAGATAAGGAGAAAATTCTGGGAATTCTTATTGAAAGTCCATTAAGAGAAATTGATAGGACTTTATAATTTTGATGAGCTGAATAGATACCAATGTCAATGTGTGGAAATTTTTTCTTAAAACTTGTTCATGTATTATTTTGATCAATTTTTCTGTGGCATTTGGTGCAATAAACCTTTTGAATTTATCTTGAACATTTCCTGGCGCTGCATGTGATTTGTTGAATTTAATTAAATCTAGAGTCTCATTTATAAGAAACAAGTTCATTATATGTATCAATGATTTTCCACAGGTGTGTTTTGGAAATGGGACATTTTTGATTGGCAGACTGACAGGTGAGGGCTACTGTATGGCATGTAGGAGTGGGGGGCAAGATGACCCATGAAATGTCCTGCAACATGTGAGATAGCCCCAGGACCAGCAGACCTTCAAATGCCCTGCTGGATATTCATGTGGGTGAAAACCCTCTTAAAAATTATCTTACCTGAGAATTGAGTTCTGCTTTACATAAAAGCACAATGTGTTTTGTACATGATTTGGGTATATACAGAATTTTCCAGGGATGCAACTGTTATATACATGAAGGGAAGGTTTTACTCTGTAAAGATTTTAACAAGAATTGTTCACTAGGTCTTTACAAAGAATTGAGTACTTGTGGAAAACCACCTTACCAACAGCCACAGCACTCATAGAACTCAAGTCAGCAGTGCAGTACATCTCCACAGTTGTCATTTATAGCTGTGACATCCATAAAGATTCTTTGTACAGATGTAAGCATCTGTCCACCTTATTGTATTTTCTCTGGGTGTATGTGTGTGCACACAAACGTGCAAGTGCTCTACCATTGAGCTACATGCCCAGCCTGCTTCATCATATTGTCTACTCTGATGGTGTTGCTTGCACCCACGACTGTGGAATAAAAGCTAAAAAAGAAAATGCAAAGAAACCACAGGACACAAGAAGTAATTTTAGAAAGCAGGGGTAGGATGGTTCTCTGATCTTAGGAATCGAACTTCCACACTGGAAAGACAGGGAGAGTCCTCACTTGCTTTACTTATAAGGGGGCAACATCAAAGCTTTTCCATGGAATGTCCTTTATCAAATAAGATAGGGGGTGGGCTGTCTATTTCCTGATGGGTTGAGCTAGGAGACCTGTCCCACTAGTAGAGCAAGGGCAGCAATCTCATGCCTTGGGCAGTCTACACACGGGAATGCTGGGATAGTTCCCAAGAGAAGACCCAAGTACCGCATGCTCGGTACCAAGTAAAAGACCACTCAAGCAGCTTTACATGGAAAGCTTTATATATGTTTTATATATAAAACATCCCCATTTTCATCCAGTTCTATAATGGATGAAAACATGGGATACTCTGTAGAGGTTTATGCTTTTAAATTCCCCCCCACCCAGGCCCTCCAAAGACCACAGCGGTGCATCAGAATATACTATAAAATGTTACTTCTTAAACAGTACATCCAGGGGATTACAATCTAGGGGATTGCATTGGTGTGTTATAAATTGTTAACTTATGTTTTCTGAATTTTATTTTGGGATAATAAAGGAGAATTTAAAAATATTTACTAAGAAAAGGGATGAGTTACTTTGCTAATATATTATCTCAAGAAGAAATATGCCATTGAATGTAACTTCTGTACCAAAGAATGGCATACTTTGTTAGGTTATCTTAAAGATTCTAGGGAGAAGTTATATTAGGTATTTCAAAATCCTTTTTGGTTGAAAATTTCAAATGTTTTCCATGTTCCCTGAAGCAGTTTTTTAAAAGTGTGTCATCAATAAAGGTCTTAAATATACATGTACACCTTCAGCACATTTTGGTTCCCTAGTGCCTGGATTCTTTCATTTAATCCTCTCAACTGGGTGAGAATGGCACTGTGATGGTGGATTTTATGTGTCAGCTGGGCTTGACCACAATACTCAGTCTTTGGTCAAAGGCTAGTCTGGATGCTACTAGGAAGATATTTTTTAAGATAAAAATATTTAAATCAGTAAACTTTGAATAAACAGATTACCCTCTATAAAGTGGGTGGGCTTCACCCATTCACTTGAAGGACTTAGGAGATAAAAAAAAATAGATGCTCTAAAAAAGAGGTAATTCTGCCCCAAGACAGCCTTCATCCAAATTGCAATATCACCTCTTCCCTGTGTCTCCAGCTGCTGGCCTTCCCTGCAAATTTTGGATTTGTTAAATTAAACCAGTTCCTTATAAAACACCTCTCTCCTTTACTCTCCAAACACATACACACATGCATCTCATTGGTTCTCTGGAGATCTCTGACTGATAAAGTTATAGAAGAGATCAGTCCAGTAACACTTAGAATGATCCAATATAGGAGAGTTGGGTAGGATCAGAATAGTCATTCCAAGTTACAAGAAGTAGACTTTCAAGCAAAGAGTTTTCACATAGTAAATAGTACTGTTATCCTTTTCACAAGTCACACAGTCTGAATATGTGCTGCAGAGAAGAGTTGGAAAACAAAGAAAACAACCCTTTAGTTGAAGTTTTGGCTTGTCTTTTTCATCTTTGTGAACAAAAGACCTGACAAGAACAGCATAGAGGAGGAAAACTTTATTTTGGCTCATGGTTCCAGAGGTTCAGTGCATAGATGGCCAACTCCATAGCTCTGGGCCTGAGGTGAGGCAGAACATCATGGCAGAAGTATGTGGCAGCAGGAAACAGCACATGACATGACAACCAGGAAGCAGGGAAAGCTTTGCTCACCAGGGAGAAAATAGAAACCCCAAATACACCCCCAGTGACGTACTTCCTCCTGCTCACCTATAGTTACCATCCACTCTACCCATGGTTACCACCCGGTTAATCCATATCAGTGGATTAATCCATTGATCAGTTAAAACTATCATAATCCAATCAATGTGCCTCTGAATATTCTTGCATTGTCTCATATGAGCTTTTGCGTGAGACATCTAAACCATAATAGATGGAAAGAAAGGAGGTAACATCGTTAAAAGTGGAAGAAAAAAGTTCCCTTCCTATAAAGATTCATCCCTACAGTTGTGTGTGAATTCCTATAGTTGTGCATCTTCCTCTGTGTTTTGGGAACTTGGAACTCAGTTATCTCATTCTCTCTCATCTTTAGTTCTCATTCTGCTGACTTTTTCTACTAAAAGAGTTTTAAAAAAAAAAAAAGTTTCACCTATAATAAACCCTAGTTTCTCTCCTTTGATAACTAGGGATTTTCTAGAGAGGTCTACTTGACCGACCTTCACTTCTTTTCCTCCCATTCATTCTCTGCTCTCTGCCACTCTCACTGAGGGCTGAGGACCCAACATCCACCCCCTTCCTTCCCATGGTAGATGAGTTTTCCAAGGCCCAGTGAGCACAGAGTGCAGTTGAACTGACTTTACATCTCAAATGTACCACCTTTCTGCTTCTCTGTTCCTAGCTCAAAATTCAGTTTGTTGTCAGATTCTCTGGTACCTTGCCACTCAAGATCCCTGGACTAACATCAACTAGCTACGGAAGCTTTCCCCCCCCCCCCCGCACTAGAGATTGAACCCAGGGACACTTAACCACTGAGCCCAGCCCAGCCTATCTATTTATTTATTTATTTAGACACTGGGTTTCACTAAATTGCTTAGGGCCTTGCTAAATTGCTATGGCTAGTTTTGAATTTAACAATCATCCTGCCTCAGCCTCCCAAACTGCTAGGATTACAGGCATGTGCCATCATGCCCAGTGAGATTACTATTAAGCTCTCACTGAGTGAGTGAGTGGAGGAAGAATGTATCAATCATTGATATCTATGTCCATATTTTGCAATGGAGGTGGAGGGGAGTAAGAATATTTGCAAGCAAGGAAATAAAATAGAAGTGGATGTTTTTAAAAGTATCATATGCCCATAAATCCTGCATTTAGATAGCTGTTACTAATTTGGAGAAAGAAGTTAACAAAAATCAAAAGGGGAAAATAACAAATAGAAGATAGAACTTGAGGGACATTTTGTGATTTTAAAAAGAGATATTGGCAAAAAAAAATAATAGTTTAGAAGTAATTTGTCCAATTGAATTCTAAAAATATCCATAAAAGCATTTGGGGTAAATGTGTACAAGAATGATATATACGGTTAAATATCACCAACTGTACTTTTTTTAGAAAGATAATTAAGTTCTAAACTCCAGTTTTTAAGTAAAAAATGAGCATGAATATAAAACATCCCTGTTTTCATCCATTTCTATAATGGATGAAAACATGGGATAGGGTAGAGGTTTATGCTTTTAAATTCCGCCCCCCCCCCCAGGCCCTCCTAGGATAAAGTTTTACTTCTTTCAATGCATGCTTCTCGCTCTTGGAGAGGAAAAGTGGAAAATGTACCAGCATCTAGGGTTAGAGTGTTAATGGCTGCCACTCCCTGGTGGCCCAGGGTGAGGCACCATGTTGGAGGCTTTCCACGTGTGATATTCATTATTGGCTTTAGAATACATGGGAACACTTGCTTCAAGTTATTTTCCCAGGAGAGGATTTATACTGAGGGGTATTGGTGAGTACTTACTGAATATGCACAACTCTTTGGGATTGTCCAAAAAGTGGACTTGGAAGACAGGTTTTTTATGTATGTCTGGAAATTTAGAAGAAAGCCTAGGTGAAAAAGATGATTTCAAATGACACAGTATTCTGTTTATCTGTAGAAGGGAAGAGGTGGGACCAAGTGATCAACTACCTTCCTGGATGTTGAGTTAAACCCACATCTGGTGCATCTGGATGTGAAGCATTGAGAATGATGCTCCATGGATCCGGGCTTCCTGTCAAACTGAATCCACTCATGAGGAGACATCAGAAAAACCTATGTTGAGAAAGAATCTACAGAACCAGCATGTAATCTTCAAAAATGGGGGTGTGGTAAAAGACCAAGGCAGAGAAACTTCCAAACTGAGCAAGACCAAAGGGGTGAGAACTAAATATAATGCATGACCCTAGCATGAAACCTGGATCAGGGGAAAATATACGATCAATTAATGAAATTTTATTATGCACTTTAATGTATCAATGTTAAATTTCCTGAATATTAAAATTGTAAACTGTGGTTATGTTAGAGAACAGCCTTGTTCTTAGGAAATATAACCTGAAGTATTGAGGAATAAAATAGCCTCATATCTGCAATTAGCTCTCAAGTGTGTGTCGGTGTGGGTATGGGTAGGGGTGTGTGGAGAGAGAAAGAAAGAGAGGTAGGGGTGGGAGAGGGAGGTAGAACATTAAACCAAATAAAATTAACAACTGTAGGTCTGGGTGAAGGGTATATGAGGAGTTCTTGCAATGTCCTCAGTAAATTTGAAATTTTAAAATAAATCTTTTAAACATTTTTTTTTCTTTCCTTCTTTTTTGGTACTGGACCTCCAAATGGGCAGGCCATGACCTTCAGAACTCATGGGTCTCATGAGGTCGCAGCCGTAATAGCCACCTTCAACTTCCCAGCATTTTTCGTTCTTGGCTCTGAAAGGACAGGAGGGACGATCATGATACATCAAGATTCTTTTTTTGCGGGGTGGATACCAGGAATTGAACTCAAACCACAGAGAAATGTTAGTGACTGGACTGCTCCCCTTTTCCATAAAAGTGTCCCTGGGGTCAGGACCTACCAAGGAGGACTACTATGGCTCCCTAGCAGAATTTTTCAAATAGACGTAGTTAATTGCTGAGGAATCAGATCTCTGGTGACACAGGGTAAGTAATATTCTAGTGAGTTGTTAAGATTCTTCAATGGGGCAAGACAACTCTTTGTGGACAGGGGTCTCTGAATGGATCTGATCTATCTCCTTTTCTACCATGGAAATTTGCTGTCAAACAATATTTAAATGACTACAAAGGTAGTTGTGCTATTGGATTATGCAGAAAGCTAAAATAGGAAAGTGGTCTCTACATAGGAAATCATGGTTGAATATAGACTTCTGCATTCTTTCTTTTAGACAGTATTTACATGATTCTCATTTTAACTCTACAAAATTTTCAGAACAATACCCAAATATTCCTATCTGACTTGTAAACAATAATTTAAGAAAATGATGCAACTTGCCCAAGATTTCCTAGATGGCAAAGCAGGGGGAAAACTTCCATTTTGAACTAGTATATTCTTACTACGCTAACCAGTATGTGAGGTTTTTAAAAGGGAATTACAGATTTGCGTTCATTTTATAAACTGTTTTCTCAGTCTTTGGAAACCAAGGGGATGGTCATTCTCTCCAGGTTAAATCAGGCAATTAATAACCATTCTAAGGACTGGCCTACGAAACTGCTTGTTTTCCTTAGCTGTAAAATGGGGGAAATACCCACCTATCCACTGAACAGATGTTACTATGGAAATCCAATAGAGATCACAACATGGTTTGATAAAGCTAAAAGGAGCTATAAAACTGTTAGTATTAATACCAAACAACACTCTTGACTTTGTATGTTAAAACAGGCTGATTTTTTTTTTTATGATGCTTAGAAAAACAACAGGTCATACCTCTTCCTTTTCTGGTAGCTTTGGCAACCTGGAAGGCTTGGAAACTCTTGGTAATGGTGATTGACTCTGCCTAACCATAAGAGCCCGATTGGAATTTCTCTGATTGGAGTCTTCGTAATCACTCATATTCCAGGCAATAAAACCACGACCATGTCTTCCTTGCTTATCCAGGATAAACGGCTTGGGTTGCCTGAAATAGGAATAAACTGGTTGGTTCTCCAAGGGAAAAAGGTCTAGAACCAAGGCCATGAGTTTTCAGAGTTGAGATTTGTATTTCTCTGGTGACTTCAGGTGATTTCCAGCCAAGTGACTTGAAAAAGCTAAAGGCCTGACCCATCATCTAGCATTCTGAGAAGTTTCTGGACTCTTCCCTGCTCTAAATCACTGGACAGTCAGTTGCTGGAGATGCAAAGAACCATCAGATGGACACTTAGGAAGCTTGATGAGGGGCTGGGGCTGGGGTTCAGTGGGAGCGCACTTACCTAGTAGGTGTGAGGCACTGGATTAGATTCTTAGCAGCACATATAAATAAATAAATAAATAAAGTAAAGGTCTATCAACAATTAAAAAAAAAAATTTTTTTAAAAAGAACCTTGATGATACCGGGTGCAGTGGCACAAGCCTGTAATCCCAAAAGCCCAGGAGACTGAGACAGAAGGATCCCGAAAGTTCAAGGCCAGCCTCAGCAATAGTGAGGCACTAAGTAACTCAGTGAGACCCTGTCCTTAAAAAAAGTACAAAATAGGGCTGGGAACGTGGCTCAGTGGTCAAGTGCCCCTGAGTTCAATTCCTGGTACCCACCCCCAAAAAAGAATCTTGATGTATCAGGATCGCCCCTCCTGACCTTTCAGAGCCAAGCATGAAGAATGCTGGGAAGTTGGAGGTGGCTGTTAAGGCTGGGACCTCATGAGACCCAGAAGTTCCGAAGGTCATGGCCTGCCCATTTTGAGATCCAGTGGGCATTTAATAAAACACCAACTTTGTGATTCCAAACTCTGGCATTGGGCAATATTTTTGAGGAAAGTTCTATGCTTCATTCTCTTTCTCCAGTGAGATCCTTGGCTAGGTTCCCCAAAACCTTAAATTAGAACATTACCTCAGCCCTGCCTTCCCATATAAAGACCCAGCTCTAGGGAAGAGACAGAAAACGAACGGTACAGGTAAGAATTTGCCATCTCAGAAGGTTTCAGAATGTCTCTTGGAACTTCTTTCCCGTCATTCCTTGACCTGGGAAGCCACAGCCTCTTGGTGACCACAAAATTCTCTTTCTAGAATCTCAGTTTCATGAGTTCCCAAGTGTGTTAGTCAACTTTCTGTTACTGTGACAAATGCCTGAGATAATTCACTTATATAAGAGGGAAAAAAAGGTTTATTTTAGTTCATGGTTTCAGAGGTTCCAGTCCATAATCGGCTGGACTGCTGTTTTTAGGCCTATGACAAAGCAGCACATCATGGTGCAAGTGTGTGGCACCATGTACCTCATGACTGGAAAGTGAAAGAGAGCAAGAGGGAGGGGGTGGGGTCCCAACACTCTCCTTAAGGACACTGCCCCCCAATTACCTAAAGACCTCACCTCTACCTCTGAAAGATTCCATCACGTCCCAAGGGCACCATGCCCTGAGCCTTTGATATGTGGGCCCTTGGGGACATTCAAGATTCAAACTACAGCACCAAGTGGTTTGGACCAAGGTTAGTAGCCCTGCTCCCCACTCTGGAATACGTGAGCACTTCAGAGAGTATACCAGGCACAGCACCACAGCCCTGGGAGGACAAGCTATTAAGACAAAGAAACAAGCAAGTATTTTGTGTGGGAGGTTCTGTGAGGCAAAAGAAAAGCAGAGGAGGAATTGAAAATCCTGGACAGTTCTCTTGCTGTTGGGGCAGGTGGGAGGGGAAGAGGAGGTCACGCCTGAGCTGAGAGCTGAAGGAAGCCAGAGGGCGAGGAATTCCCACAGCTCAAAGCGCAGGCAGACACTCCCTTCCCAGGCCTTAGGATCAGGCTCCCTGGGTGGGAGGGAAGCACTCTCCAGCAGACCCTTCTCTGACATCCCCTGGCCCCAGAATAAAGTCCAGACTCCTTAGTTAGGCTTAGGGTTAGCGTCAGGGTTGTTGGTGTTTGGTTTTTTCTTTTCTTTCGTAAAATGGTCTGACTGATGGGCCTCCTGGCCTGCTCTCCTCAGCCCATCCCTGCTCTCAGACACACACGGCCCTCCCTCCTTCCTTCCTCATTGGATTCTGAGAACACTAAAGAAGCTGCTCTTCAGCCTGTCCCCTCAGCTGTTGTTCATTCCTCTCCCTCCTCCTTTATCAAGACGGAGCTTGAAATGTCACCTTGGGACTGGAATGTAGCTAAGTGGCAGAGCGCTTCCCCAGTAGGTGAGAGGCCCCGGGGTTCCATCCCCAGCCCTGCCAAAACATGAAAACATAAAATCAAGCCAGACTTTCCTCATTGCTGTGAACCAGTGCCTTTTCTTGCTTCCAATAATTCACCATATTTGACTCGCTTTATTAAAACTATGAGAATATTCTGAAATTTCTAGCTCAGCACATTCTATCCAGCACATGCTCCTCAAAGGGTTCAGAATGTGTCTCATGTTGGAATCCCAAAACCTTTACCTTGCCTGACATGTAGCTGACAACTAATCTCAGAGGATAGAGAATAAAGGTGGGGGGAGGGAGGTTGGGGGGGGGATGCAGGGGAGGGAGGGAGCAGACCTAGTGAATTTACAGATCATCTACTTCTCTCTATTCCCATCCCACCCACCTGCTTCTATAACCTCCTTTTTGTCTCCCAAGAACAAAGGAGTAGCTCCCTACAGTCTTTTACTTGTTGGTGAATGTATTGAGTTTTACTATTTACAAATACAGCTATATAGCTGGGAATAATTTTAAGAGAGTTTAAAGGGCAAAATACCTGATGGTTAGAAGGTATGGAACAGGTGTTGCTAATGGTTTAGATTAGCTTGATTAATGATGAATGAGAAAACCATTTCATGCAAATGTGCCACTTTAATGTTTTATAGAAGTAATTCTATAAATAAAGAAAATGTGTTATATATACACGGTAGAGTTTTGCTCAGCCATAAAGAAGAATGAAATTATGGCATTTACTGGTGAACAGATGGAAATGAAGCATATGTGAGATAAGCCAGAGTCAGAAAGTCAAAGGTTGAATGTTTTCTCTCATCTGCAGAAGCTAGAGCAAAATAAGGGTAAAAGGGCGGGGGGATCAGATATTGTAATGATATAGGGAAGATCAGGAAAGTAGGAGAAGGACATAGTGGAGAAGGAGGGAGGGTAGGGAAAGGGGAGGATTAAACCAAATCACACTATGTGCATATAGAAATATACCACAGGGAATTTCACCTCTGTACATAGATAGGTAAAAGCACCAATCAAAAATAAACAAATGAGTAAAAGGAAAATCAATGAAGTAGAGGAAGGATAACTGAAGGAGGAAGGGAAGAAGAGAGAGAGAGAAAGAGAGGGAGGGAGGAGAGAGGGAAGGAGGGAGGAGAGAGGGAGGGAGGGAGGAAGGGAGGGAGGGAGGGGAGAGAGAAAGAGGGAAGAATGGGGCCTGAAATGGAGTCAATTAAATTCCATGCATGTATGATTTTGACAAAATGAACCAAATTACTATGTATAACTATAATGCTCTAATGAAAAAAATCAGAAAAGCAGTAATTAGTTTGCAAAAGAATACATACTTAGTTACATATATTTAGTTCTCACTTCAGTGCTAAAATATTTTATGATCTAAATTCAGAATATCATATGTCCCTGGAATCTCAAATCCCCAGAAGCAATGGAAAGCATCACTTGATGTCTATCCACAATGATTCCCTCCCCTTTTTCCCACAGAACATTGATCTTATCTAATATATATGGTGGTATCATGTTGACTCACCTTGAGTTAAATCTGTGAGTAAAGGAAAGGAACTGTTTCCTCTTCTTTGAAGTACTGAGGATGGAACCCAGGGCCTTATGCATGCTAGACAGCTACTCTACCACTGAGCTACACCCCAAGCCCATATTTTAGTTTTTTGTTTCCTTAATGTCTACAAAGTTCCTGATATAGAACACATTTTCAATTTTACTTGTATCTATAAAAACACACACAAAAGGCTAGGGTTGTGGCTAAGTGGCAGAGTGCTCACCTAGCATGCTTGAAGCACTGGGTTAGATCCTCAGCACCACATAAATATAAAATAAAGATATTGTGTCTACCTGCAACTAAACAAAAACAAAAAAACAAAACAAAGAAACCCACACACAAAAATATTTTATCCCTAATAAGAGAGACTATGACTACATTCAATAGAGGGATTAGAGCATGGTGGCATTGATTTAAAAAACTATTGGAATTATTTTTATAATACAGCAATATCTACATTTTTCATAAAAAGACATTGGTTATTTGAGAAATGACCAGTATTTTCCTAGCAGCGAGGACAGCAGAGTAATGAACTGAAGATGATGATATTCATTTAGCATTCAGTTCAGAAAAGACTGGCTGGGCCTTGCTTATATAACTGTCTGAAACTGATGGGACAACTTGACTTTCATTTGGACACTTCTGCCAGAGAAAACACTCTGGGTGGCTGAAAAGGGGCCCTGCGGAGAGGTGGCACTGTGCTTGATCATCCATGTTTCTGCCTTTGGTGACTCTGCCTAGGCCCACCACCATGGATGTGTGGCAGCCACTTTGATTCATGACCAAACAATTCAATGAACCCTCAGAGTGTTAAAAAACAAACTGGTTTAAATAAGGTGGTTATTCTGGACTATTGACCACCAGCATCAATCATGTCCAGGAACAACAATTTTTCTTCTGACCCACATCGTCTGAGTTCCATCTAAAAATAGTTCCAATAAATGGTTAAATTACTGCCTTTTGAATTCCATAGTTTAAAAAAAGTCACTGTTTAAGTTGCAGTAAGTCAGTCTAGTCGCCTAATATAGACACCAGTAACAGTTATTCACTTGAGTTTCAAATAGAAGAATTAGGTGGAAACTTCCCTTGTGGAAACCTGAAGTGATGCACCTCTGTGCATTCATGTGTTTCTGGCTTGCTCTTGTTTCCAGTGCTGTATCTGGATTGTGACCTAAAGGCAGGACTCTCTAGTTTCTCAGCAAGTTTGTTCCTTCCATGCTTGTTTGCTAACAGCATCATTGATTTCTGTTTTGTCC